TTGCTCAAAACCAGAACATACTTAATGAGTATCACCACTAAAGGAGTGTTTGGTGTATTTAGTCAATGAAATACTACATAGTAAAGAGAATCAATGAACACCACCTGCGTGCAAAAACATGGATGAATTTCACAAAATAAGTTTGAATACAAGTGACAAGACAGAAAGGAATGTGCACCGTATGATCCTATTTGTGTAAAATTCAATAATAGGTGAAATGATATGTGATTTAGAAGTCAAGATAATACTACTTTCTGAGGGGTAGAAACGTCAAAAGATTAAATGAGACTTTGGGGTGGTGGAAATACTCATTTTCTATTTCTAGGTACAACTTTTCTTGTGTCAAATACATCATGTTGCAAGTTTATAACTTGTGTATTTTTCTGTTTGCATGTTATGTATGAAGAAAAAATTGAAAAATGGCAGTTTCTGAGTAAGAAAATACCACATTCTATGACTCCAGGACTTAGCTTTTTCTAAATGGGATAAAATAACATAAACCTTACAAAGTATCATGGTGGTGGTTGTTAAGTGCCCTCGAGTCAATTCTGACCTATAGCAACCCTGTGTAGGGCTTCCAAGGAGCAGCTGGTGAGCCTGAACCACTGACCTTGCAGTTCAAATGACTTTGCAGTCTGACACATTAGCCCGTAGCACCACACCAGGACTCCTACAAAGTCTCATAAACCTTACCCAAAAAAAAGTCTTCTGAATATAGGAAATGGGAATAATTTCCAATTCATTTTATCTAACCAGCATAATTTCTTATTCTGGTTTAATAAAATTATGCCTTACATGCTGATTACTATGAAAGAACATTTTGGGTTTATTTCTTTGGTAAGTATACAAATTTTAAAGAACAGATTCACAAATTCAACAATATATTTTTAAAAATCATGAAGACCACATGGGTTTATTTCAGGACTGCAAAAATGGAGGAACAGAGTAACTCATTATTCCTGCTCTGAGAAGAACATTAACCATCAGAACTCTAATAGAGTAGAAGTGGTTCACGTGGTCAGAAAAAGTTCTCTCTGATTGGCAGTGTAACATTGGAGAGATAAGCAAACTCATATACTTTCTTGGACTAACTCCTCCCTTATATAGTTAGCCCTCATAAGTCTGAAAGCAGGTTTCACCCTAAGTAAGAAAAGGGGTCTCTGGAAGCTAAGTAGAGGGAGTTTCTGAAGTGCCATCAATAATGATGTGGTGCTGTGGGTTAATGCGCCAGACTGCAAAGCCATTTGAACTACATAGTTGCTGGTTCAAGCTCGCCAGCTGCTCCTCAGAAACCCCATACAGGGTCACTGTGGGTTGGAAGTGACCCAAAGGCACTTAACAACAACAACAAAGAATGATGCAGTACATGTTGCTCTTGTTTTCCATCTTTTGCTAATCATAAACAAAACTTGGTGCTGGGTAAGACTTTCATTTAAAACCGATTGATAATGTGAACCTTTTAATGGTGCACCAAATGCATTATGATGAAGATCAAAGAGCACAGCCTTCGGTATGGATTGCATCTCAATGTAAAGAAAACAAAAATCTTCACCACTGGACCAATAAACAACATTCTTATCAATGGAGAAAAGATTGAAGTTGTCAAGGACTTCATTCTTCAATTATCAACACTCGTGGAAGCAGCTGCCAAGAAATCAAGTGATGTATTGCATTAGGCAAATCTGCTGCACAAGACCTTTTTAAGTGTTGAAGAGCAAAGATGTCAGCTAGAGGACTAAGGTGTGCCTGACCCAAGCCATGGTATTTTCAATAACCTCATATGCATGAGAAAGCTGGACAGTGAATAAGGAAAACTATAGAAGAATTGATGCCTTTGAATTATGGTGTTGGAGGAGAATATTGAAAGTGCCATGGGCTGCCCATAGAACCAACAGATCTGTGTTGGAAGAAGTGCAGCCAGAGTGCTCCTTGGAGGCCAAGATGGCCAAACTTCATCCCTCATACTTTAGACATATTATCAGGAGAGAGCAGTCGCTGGAGAAGGATATCATGTTTGGTAAGGTGGAGGGTCAGAGAACAAGAGGAAGACCCTCAGTGAGATGGATTGGCCAAGTGGCAGCATCAATGGGCTCAAGCATGGCAACAATACTGAGGTTGGCCCAGGATCAGGCAGTATTTTGTTCTGCTGTGCATAAGTTTGCTATGAGTTGGCACCTAACAACAACAACAAATGCTTTAAGAAAATTAAAATCAATTTAATTCAACAGATTAGTGTAAAAGAAAGATTAAAAATAATATTTCAATAGATGCTGAAAATATTTCACACTAATTTATGATTCTAAAAAATGTAATATTTGAATAGGAATGTAGAGAAATTTCCTTTTTGTGAAAAGAAATATCTATTAAAAAGACCCTATAGCAAACATTTTGTATTATATTTCTTTTTAAATGTAAAGGTTAAAAAGATGTCTACTTCCTGGTAATAAGGAATAAATGGGACCAGAATAGGTAGAATTTATAATAATAATTTGCTGGCTAGTGATGACCTCTGAGCATTTTCTAACTGTTTTCTGGTCGTCATCATTGCTCCGTGGACAATACAGTTTTCTGTCTCTTTTGTGATTTGCTTTGTGTCTTTGCTGTTTTGTAATTTCACTAGTTTAGTATCTAGTTTTGGATCTTTTGTTTCCTTAACATGCTCATGACTTTTTGTACACCCTCAATTTAAAATTTACCTTTTCTTCAATTCTGAAAAATATTGTTATTTTATCTTTAAATATTTTCATTATTTCCCCCTTGCTCATTCTCTGCATTGCTATCTTCTAGAATTCCTATGAGATGAATTCCCAATTGGCCTTCTTGTCCCTTCACTTTTCTTAACTGCTATTTTCTGGGTAGAATTTGCAACTGTGTCTTAATTGTACAGTATTTTCTTCATTACTATCTAATTTTCTCTTTAATACACTTGTTATCTTTTCCATTGAATTAATCTAAGCTTTTGTTTTTTCTATTTGGCTGTGTTTTGTTTTGATTTTGACTTTATGCTTTGCTCTCTCCCTCTGTTGCCAATTTGATGTGTTTTTTATGACTGATAGTGCTAACTCTGGGTTTTTCTCCCCAGGTACAAATAGCAAGTCTATGCTTCTAGTTTCCCTGCACTCATACTTGGACCAAGGGAAGTCCTGGCCATAAAATATCCTGGTACTGTTTTGTCATTTTGCTTGTAGGTTGTTTGGATGCAGCATCTCCAGCAAAGCACTTGGGTTGTGCTCTCCACATTCCCAATGATAGTGAACCTACTTTATGAAAAGATGTATTTTAAATTCTGGAAGGGTAACTACCTAGGAAAGTCATCTGAACTTTTTGCCTTTTGTATGAGGAAAAAATAAACTTTTATTGTGGCAAACCAATGGAATTTGATACTTATATTGCTGCTAACATTATTCAAAAATAACAATATATTTAGCATTTTAAACATACTTGCAATGATTTTTTCAGATTGTGCTGTTTTTGGTGTTAAGTGCCTTCGAGTAGGTCTACTCATCTTTGAAGCAAGTTGAAGTCAATATTCACCTCTTTATGAATCCTCCAAAAAGTTAATTCCTTTACTTATTCATGTACCAGCCAACAGACATGCATTTACTTTAAGATTCTCGATTGCAAAGTCATCACATCTTTTTTGTTTTTCTAAATTAAATAATAGGTGATAAGATGAGTTCCCCATTCCTGCTACTGGGGTAAAACAAGCTCAGAGGTGTTTTGGAGGACCTTTCCCTAACTGTGGTGTGTTATCCAAGCATCCTCATGTCTGCATTCCCAAAATGTAGGCAGGGCCTCTGGAGCCAGGTTCACGGTTGACTGGCACTCCTGTGTAGTTAAGATGATCTCAGGCCTACAGGAGCCATACCTCTGTGTGGACACAGAGAACCCTGCTGTGCTCAGCTGTCTTAAAACTGTTGGGAGCAAGTGGAACAAAGTTTTCTTTCCACCACTTTCCTCAACGTCAACCTCCCTTCTTCTTCTCCTACTAGAAACCACACCCACTCTTCCTCCTCAAGACTTGCCTCCACTCTGGCCCCTCTGACTGGGTAGCCTGCCCATTAACTCTCCCCTGCAATCAAAAAAGACCTAGATCAAATCATTACATTGTGATGGTCCTCACACACTAGCACTGCATTCTTCTGAGTCTTTGAGACTGAGTTTACCTACAGGTAGCTGTGGATTGAAACTGAGTGTCGCGGAACAACAATCCTGTGACAGACTTTTGCTGTCTTTCTAGTTTCCCCACAGGGAGCCACCAAGGCAAAGGCCTAGTATGTGGTTGTTAAGTGCCATCTAGTGCTTCACACTCAGGGTTTTTGAGGATCGACTGGTGTGATTTGAACCTTTAATCTTGTGGTTAGCAGCCCAGTCCTTATCCTACAGAGATACACAAACATAGAATCTGGCAAGTAGTAAAACAGATGTCCAGCAAAGGACACCAGGGTCTGACCAGGGACTAGGAGGGGTACTTCTCTAGTCAAAGGACTTTAAAAGCCTGTTCTCCTGACACTGCTCTGCCCCAGATTTAGGGGAGGGAAGACATGGAGCACAAGACACAAGGATTATTCTGGCCTGCTCTCAGTGTCCCCACACAGCTTCTGGTTGCTGAGTGAGGGCAAAAGGCAGATGGGACTGTGGGAACCCTGGCCTAGTACAGCTCCCTGTGTAGCTGAGGGACCCCTGGGTGAGACTGGGAGTTGGGGGAGCTTCAAGACCATAACCTAGACCCTGGGTTCCTTATACTCTGGGTTGCAGTTCCCTGAGTGACCACCGGCCTCCCGTGGCCGCCTGGTTGCACGGCCCTTGCCTGGCTGGCGGGCGGGCGGGCGGAGCCGGCCTCCATCACGTGGAGAGGCGCGCGGGGACGCCAGGGCTGCGGGGGGCGAGCTCAGCTCTTTTAAGGCGCTTGAGCCTGGTGGTGAGAGCTGGCTCCGCGGCCACTGAAGCAGGCCAGGGCGGAGAGCTAAAAGCCTAGACAACTCGCGCAGGGTGCGTCTGCCCTCGGCAGTGCCTGGACTCAAAATGCACTGCTTGCAGGGAGGCATCTGGCTGGCCGTGGTCGCGTCCCTCCTTCAAGGTAATGCTGCTGCCGCCGGGGTTCCCCATCCTTCACTCCTCCCCTGCGAGATCCCTGGAAGCATCTTGGGAGGCATCCAGGTGTCATCCCTGGAGGCGTCCTAGGCGGGAGGCTTCCCGGGCGGTAGATCAGGCGGCTCTGTGCTCCAGGATGGAGCGCAGCTGGATGAAACTGTCTGGCTGGGTGAAACTGACTTGGGGGTCCACGTTCGGGCTCTGCTTGCAGGCGAGGGGCAGCGGGGACATTGCAGGGCATGTCCTGGCTCGTCCTGCTTTTCTGGGGGTGCTCTGGTTGGACGGCAAGGGCCGCGAGCAAGTGGGCGTGGAACGTACCTGGGGATGGCCTTCTCTGAGCAGCTGCTGGGCTCTCCTTTCTTGAAGTGTCCCTGCAAGGCGAGTTCCAGAGGAAACTCTACAGGGAGCTGGTCAAGAATTACAACCCTTTGGAGAGGCCGGTGGCCAATGACTCACAGCCGCTCACTGTCTACTTCTCCCTGAGCCTCCTGCAGATTATGGACGTGGTGAGTCCCGCCTGCCCATACAACACCCTCTCCCTGTTGCGAGCGCGGCACCAGGACTTCAGCCAGAGGCGGAATCCCAGGGTTCCTGAAAGGGTTGGGCTGGCATGCGCTCTGACCCCAGAACCTAGCCTGCCTGAGCTAAATGCTTGCTTTCTCTTGCAAAGAACAGCTGACGAAGCTGTATTCCACAGCTTTGGCCACCTATATGTGACTGACTTCAGTCCCACCTTGTACCCTCAGTCTAGAAACTCAGGGCTGAAAGTATCCTAAGGAGTCCTTAGCCAAAACAGAGTGTGAATGACCGCACCCCAATGGCAAAAGTGTTTCCCTTTAGCATGGGCATTCTATGGTATTTGAGCTTTTTATAGACTTCTGCTGTCTTGGTATGTAACTTCATCAGGTAGGGGTCTGACCATGGGCTCTGCGCCTATGAATCTAGTCAGGCAGGCAAGATTGAGATTTTCGACCCCTTCTTAATAATGTAGGGGCTCTCGCCACAAACAAGGCTTCATACCAGAGATATGAGTACATTTGTCTGTCTTTTCAGGAAGCTGCTACCTACCCATGGGCCTTTGTTTGCCCTGAGGCCTTTTTAGGGTCAACTTCAATTGACAAAAATCTCTTTAATACTCTGTAAGCTTATTCTTTTGCTCTTCTGTGAATATTTATACCATTGACTACAGGGCAATTAACAACAACAACAATCACTTATACAATTCAAATTTTTTTTAAAGGCTGAATTCTTTTAAAATGGGTTTGAGGGAGTGCTTTGTACAAGACATTGTATTCTGGCCTAGGGTGGAGTAGGGGTGTGGCACAGGGATAATGAGGTTCAGATGTGGCATGAAATGTGCCTGAGAACAGCCACAACTCAAGAAAGTGCTAAGGGCCCCTTGAGGGGCTCAGGTAAAGTGGTTTAAGAAAGTAGGTGATATTTCATCAATTTTTCTACAGGTGGAGTTATTCACTTTACCACCCTCAGCATGGTACTTCAATCAGCCTAATTATATTGCTGTGAATGAAATACTTATTTTGCCATACTACACCTGTGTTAAATTGGTGCTTCTTTCTATGCTCAGAATTAAGCTTTGAATCTATATGTGAGTCCTGGTGTGGTGCTGTACAATAAGAACTGGACCACACGCTCAGTTAGAACTAAAAGGGCAAAGGTTAAAATCCACCAGCTGCTCCAGGGAAACCCTACACAGGGTCACTATGAGTCAAAATAGGTTGTTGTTGTTGTTGTTAGGTGCCACTGAGTTGGTGCCGACTCATAGCAACCTTATGCATAGCAGAACGAAACACTATCTGATCCTGGGCCAACCTCACTGCTGTTGCCACACTTAAGCCCACTGATGCTGCCCTGCCAATCCATCTTGCTAGGGATCTTCCTCTTTTTCTCTGAGCCTCCACCTTACCAAACATGATATCCTTCTCCAGCGACTGGTCCCTCCTGACAATATGTCCGAAGTATGAGAGACAAAGTCTGACCATCCTGGCCTCCTGATTAGATGGCACTAAACATATTGGCAGTGCTGTGGGTTAATACACTGGACTGCAAAGTCGGTTTTAATTACAAGGTCCGCAGTTCAAGCTCACCAGCTACACCTTGGAAACCCTATACAAGGGTCACTATGAGTTGGAACCAACTCGATGGCACTCAACAACAACTAAACGTATTGACAC